ATCTCATCCCTCCAGTCTGACTGTCTTGGTTGTTGAGGCGCATCTTCTAAGCTTTAAGTCTTATTCACGTATGGATCTTTTGAACTCTATCTCACTGCAAAACAAATGTTTCTATAATTATGGTCGATAACTGCTGGATCCAGGACAGCTACTGTTTATCAAGAAACTGGACACACTGATGTCATATCACACAGCTCAACTAGAGACAAAGGACTGAAATTAAAAGATGAAAGGCTTTAAAAGATAACCACGTCTGATATAATGTATGTTTAAAGCAAGAGCTTGGTTTCACCTGTTGTTTTATTTGGGTTTGATCCACTTTTCCCAATTTCTGTCTTTTTTTTCTCCTTTGACTCTCAAAGCACAGGTGTTATTATTCATCGGTTTAATGTCCTCAACAATATCAAGCACTACTGGGCAATCATCTTCACACCAAATTCTTGTTATAGCTTCTATTTGTTTTGCTGGCTACAAGCTAAACTTTTCCTGGGTGTTTGTGCCTCCTCTTGTGTAGCCTCCTCAGTGTTCACCATATACACAGCATTGTTGCAAATCCCATAATGTATTTATAGTTGCATTAAATGTTTTATGTGTGTGTCAAATCAGTGGTTCCTAACCTTTTTGTCCGATGTACCCCCCCCCACGGCCCTATCAGATGTACCTAAGTGCTCCTTTATCATCCCCTTTGATAAATAGAATGGCTTTACTGTATGTTTAATGTATGTTTTGTAGTTTTGGTTTGCATTTGTACTACTGCCTTTTGGAGTGACAGCAACTGGTTGTTTTAACCATTTACAGTTTCTTTACGTTTAGCTTTTAGTTGTAATTTTTCTGACCAGTCTTTCTGAAATTAATTTACAATTGATTCAGGTTGGTGGAAAACTGAGGCCTGTCTTCACATCACACAAATATTTTAATTTTACTGGTGTGTTTTTCCCCTGAACAGAAATATGTGGATATTATTATCAAATTATAGAGCTTCATAATTTTGCCTTGCAGCCCCTGGTAACTGCAGAAAACCTGGTTGGTCCTAAATGTTCATGACTGTCACTGTTACTCCAGTAAAAAACATTATACCTATATTTGACCTCTCTTTTGCTCTACTCACTCATCCACCTCTACTTATTCCTTATGCGAGAAAAAGAACACTTCCTCAATTTGTCTTTGTGAAATGCAGTCATGAGCAGTCTCACAGCCTCTCTCTTTGATAAATAAACACTTGCTCGCCTAAACCCTGCGTGTATCGGCTGTTGTGCAACGGCTGAGTGCCATAGTGGTTCCGTAGCTCTGCCTATAGCACATACAGAACCCAGCCATGCATGCATGGATGAACAGACGGATGGATGGAGTCACTGGGGAGACATGAAATGGAGGAATGGAGATAAGAGGGAGGGCGAAGGAAGAGCAGGCGTGGAGCAGCAGACGAAACAGAGGTAAAGATGAAGGTGTTGAAATGAAAAGCAGAAAAAAAAGGAAGAGCAGATGAGATAAAATGGAACAACGGAGAGGATAAAGAGAGGAAGGGATGGATGGAGGGAGGGATAGGGACCATGTGGGACACAGGACATGGGAGAGAGGGCTTGGTCAGTTTGTGTTTGAAGGCCGGGGTGGTGTGATGGCAGATATCTGCACAGCGCATGGTCATCTCAGATGGTTTATTTATCCAAGGCCTCCAGACCAGGCCTTGGACCTCCCTGAGTTTGTTAGGCTTGAAGGGGCCCCCTACCACACAATCCAATTCTTCACATTCCACATTAGCTCCCATTTCCAGCTGCCTGTTTCCCTCTACCACTCAACCCGACCCAACCCAGTCCAGGCAAACTATACCCAGTTCAGCAAATCTGAAAAACAGGCCGGCCAGTTCCACTCTGGAAACATGAGCGGGGTATAAGAGAGTATGGTTGCCTCCACTTGGACAGATGGATGAATATGTAGGTGTATCATTTATTTGCTGTGGTGTGGTGGTAAATGAGAAGTTAACAACGGTGTCTGTGATACTACATTCCACGTCAATAGACGCATACAATCGGTGGATGTATCCTGTTTTATCAAGATACAACAAGAGATCTGAGGGGATTGCTTCGTACCAGCAGGAATGCTTGGCTCCAGTTTTATCTCTTTTAGACATTTAGGGCTTCAAAACTGTTCCTCCAACTGAATCTTTGTTGCTTTTCTGTAACCAAAAATGTAGTGTTACTAAAAGTAGAAAGAAGAAAATGGCCCTTTATGTAATAGATCATTAGATTGTTAATACAATATGTAAGTGTGATTTCACTGTTGTGTTTGGTTGAGGTAGAGTTAATTTCGAACTATTTTATATACAGTGGATAGTTTAATCACATTCATATATAACAGTATGTTGTATTGTATAAGCTCATCATATCTTTTTATATGAAATCCTGAAATGGATGGTAACTAGTACATACCGCTGTCAAATAAATGTACTAAAATTTACAGTAATTTTCCTCTGAATTGTTGTGCGGTAGAAGTGCAAAGTAGAATAGCATGGGTAAAGTACAAGTACCTCAAAATGATGTACACTGAAGTACAGGACTTGAGTAAATGTACATTTACTTTCAACCACTGATAACTGATTTAATTTGATTATTAGCAAAATTTAATCTACTTTAACATAGGCCTATTGCTGTAGCTAGAAAGAAAATGACCTCAGCATTGACAGACATACAGAAGATCATGTTGGACACTGACTGCTGTTTAACTTTTTTATGGAAGTCATTCAAATAAATTACCTGAAAAAAGTTTGGTTCATACAAATTTCAACAATATAAAAAATCCTGTAACAATATATAATATCAGTGATAGTGGTCATAATCATCAAGACAAAATACACATACATGTTTATATAAAGTGTATACATTTTATTTTGAACATATGCTCTTTTTCTTGTTTCATCATCGTCAATTGAATAATATAATATTGGATTTTGGCTCTGGGAACTTGTGATGGGCATTTTCCCATTTTCTTCTGACTTTTGTACAGCAAACAATGAATTGATTAATCTAAAAAAGGAACAGTGAAAATATCCAATAATGAGGGACCTTTAGTTTATTTGTCATTGCACGACTACATTATAGCATTTAAATATATGTTTAATAATAATCTACTTCCTTTCTATCACTCAGTAATTATTTGTATCCATACAATATTTTTTTTCTTTTGTGACTGTGCTGCAACAGTGAGAAAATGTGAATCAACAGCACTGTATAATGGTGCTCTTTCCCTGTGATGTACTACATCACATAGATACTGCCCTGTGATGCTGACGATAGTAACATTACCACACATCCACAATCTGTTTTTCTTGTCCTTTGTATCCATGCCATGTAAACAGTGATGATAGATGTAACGGCTCAGCAGCAGACTGTGACATTGATTGAGCCTGTACCTATACTGTAGCTGTCACAAACTGAATGAGCTTATAGCACCAACTCCTATATTCAAATTGCTTTACATTTTGTTTTACAGCCACCCAAGGTGCCTCAAATTAGCACCAGTCACCTGACAAATGTTCTGCACGGCGACACAGGTTAGCGTTTAGGCAAAGAGTGTAATCTGGTAAAGTGTTTGTACTTCACCCCCATGCTGTCATGAGTGGGGCCAATGGGGGCTTACATTACCACTAAGACACACAAACCTCTTTTTTTTGAGAGGTTACAGAACAATCTGGTCTGAGAACCCTCTTTCATTTTTTTCTTTTTCAGCTGTTGTTCTTAAGTGAACTGCTTTCTGAACTCGTGAAATCATGCGTGGCCAGACGTGGAAACTTTCCAGAGGTCTCCACAGAGATAAGGGTGTCACACTGAACCAGGCAGCTCCAAGGTGTTGATGAAAAGGATGCATATGTGAAATAATTTTCAGAATATTTTTTTCTAGGGTGTAAGAAAGCCCATCAACCTAAGCTGAAGAGTTGAGGTTACAGCTGTTAGTGCAAGAAACCTACACACACACACACACAGCTGCCTATAACAAACTGCACTTGCAGCAAAGTGGGTACAAATTTCTTTTTAGGGTGTTCTGTAACAAATGTGAGGCTCCAAAACCTCATCAAACGTGAGATGCCCTGAAGTGATATGAATAGTGTTGAAAGATCTGTAATTATCCCATACAAAAACAATGAATCACATGTTTACATTCTCGTCTAAAACACTGAATTAACTTTTTTTCCCTTCTTTCTTTCACTGATTGGCCTGCTGTTGATGAAACGCTGAAAAGCTGAAAATTGTGTGCGTGCGTGCCTGCCGCTGTGATATCAATAGATGGCATGTGCGATTGCTTCTTACAAACTGGAGGGCCGAGCCACTGGGAATGATGTTCAGAGAGCAAGTGAGGCGGGCAGGCAGCAAGCTGTGTGCTCGGGTGCGCGCACGTGTGTGTGTGTGTGTGTTCGTGCGTGCGCGGCTGTCCAGAGTTTATTGAAAGTGTTCCTCTCTCCCTCCCCCTCCTTCTCCTCCTCCTCCCCCCTCCCTCCAGCCCAGGCAGCAGCAGCCTGGGTGGTCCGCCTCTCTCTCCACTTTGGTGAGCTGTTGCTTAGCAGCTAATAATAGGCGATGTTTGCAAAGTAATTTGCCTCTTCCTTGGCCAATGGGAGACGGAGCACTTTTCCATCAAACCTCCCTTTTCAGGATTTGCCGAGAGGCGAACTTCTCCAAATGTTACCGCTACGGGATCGGAGTTAGACTTGACACGGACGGCTCAGACATAGGCTACTACTACTACTACTACTACTCCTCTCTGAGAGGTCGTTTCATAAACTATCGGGACGAATGAAGACTGAAGGATCTATACGGATTTCGGCGCATAATGTTGGGATGGAGTTTCGAGACTTGTTCGGCTCCAAGGAAGACTAGAAAACGTCCCTCTGACTTGTCGCCTGCGCTGCTGGATGCGCTCCTCTTCTATGTTGGATTATTATCGCTTTTTCTGAACTCGCACCAATTCTCTGTCGCTTTGCTCTGCGCCCCGTTCCCACTCGTCGGACTATGGCCACGGATCGCGGGGTCCCAGGGGCCGGCGTCTATGGAGATTTACCCCCAAGTTATACACGCTCTCAGCCGCCTGCGAACCCAGACCTACTCCGGAGACCCAGCTACTGCCACGCTGCTTTCGCTCTTAAACAGATTTCAAAGGTGATACAACGCTCGCTGTAGGCTATATGGTGTGGATTTACTATGAGGGCAGCTTTCATTCAGTCGGCAAATGTGAATGAAGGGACCTCAAAGGCAGCTTTTGATTTAGCCGTTATCTAATCGCTATAGTTGAGGGCGCATGTGGGAATGTAGGATAGGCTGAAGCAGTAGCTCCCAAACTGGGGTCCGGGGACCACCAGGGCTCCCCAAGGGAGTCGACAGCGAAAGCAAGTGTTCAGTTTAACTGTTTATAACGAAAAGAGTGTAGAAATTGTCATTAGCGGTTGACATAGACAGCAGAAACCGTATGCTTAGTGTTTACTGAGAGAAAACCTTATAGATATCTGAGCTTGCATGACATTGGCACCCCTGGAATAAAAGCAACAACAATTTTACAAGCGTTTTCATATTCGGCAGCATGTTAACTTTGCTGTTTAAGTTTTGAATGGACAGTGGACTCTCATTCATTTCTTGTTGTTAAAGCCACCAGGAGAGAGTGAGTGAGCGAGGGAAAGTTTGTTCCCATATCCCAAGCCGTGTTGTGCGTGTTTTTGGCTTTGTGCAGGCAGCGGAGAGCGCACTGGCCCGGGGTCTGTTTGGAAATGTGGTGGGTCCTGTAAAGGAATTCACTGATTGAGTTTGATCTGACAAAGCATCTTTGGACCGCCCGGATGCTTGGACGTGTTTCAGCACTGCCGAGAGAAACCACAACACCAGTGCAATGTCTTCTGCAGCATGACATTTGTAGCATAGGGACTGGTTCGCCCTAAAGTAGAGAATCTAACAGTTATATTAAAAATTACGAGGGCGTGGAAACTGTAGGCCTATAATGTAGATTAGATGTCAGCTGAAACTTTCTTGGTTAGCTCATTATGCCAGTATGTATTAGTATAGTCAAGAAAAAGTTAATGAACAAGGCCTCTACTTACACAAATGGCAATATTTTTCTCAACAGCAGGACGCATATGGTGATAACTTTGTACTGTATACTTAGTAAAGACCGCATTCATATATGGTTTTTAACATAGAGTGACAACCTTTTGACTAAACAGTATTTATTGTCTTAATGATTCTTAGCATGATCAGAATTTTCACTATGTAGCTTTCAGTAAGTCATTGTTCTGTAGGGATGAAAACGGATGGACTCTGTAAATTTAAACTAAGAACTAGTTTCCCCAAAAGCTGAACATACTACAAAGTATTGCCGCAACCGCGCAGATTAGCCTAAATCATCTCAAATGCGGGGTGTCGTTGGAGATTCTGTCCTGGGTCTGAACTGTGTTCAGGTGATGCACATGAGACTTCAACTGCAATATAACAGAACAATCAGCGTTGGACAGCACTGGCATCAGATCGGTGGTTAGCTTGTTAGCACCAACTTGTCAAGTTATACGAAGCTTAGAAGTAGCCTACACCTCTCTCTGAATACAGATTCATGTTATCTAGTGTCTTGGATGTGAGTTGCAGCTGTGCTTTAGGTTTGACCTAAATTCTTCACACTTGAGACACAGATTGTTGTGGACTTTGTGGACAGTTGTGCAATAATGCATTATTTATGTATGGTAACATAGTGATAATAATGCTGTCCCTTTCTCGCCCTCCCTCCTGCTCCTAATCCAGGGGAAGGCGGTAGGTCAGAAAGCTCCTCTGTGGATCCGGGCGAGGTTCCAGGCCCTCCTGTTCTCTCTGGGCTGCCACATCCAGAGGCACTGTGGGAAGGTCCTCTTTATTGGACTCTTAGTATTCGGGGCTCTGTCTGTGGGACTCCGAGTCGCAGCCATCGAAACGGACATCGAACAGCTATGGGTGGAAGGTGAGTTTAAGATACCTCTGTTGATTTTTTAAGCGATGTTCTTGTGAAGCAGCAACACAAACAATGTAGTAACTGTTTCTCACACAAATACAACATCACTTATCCTTTAGGGGAGCCATAATTCTGTGAGTTCAGTCTTAGGGCATGGCTGGATTTACTGACTTTTTCGTTAAGAAATGTCAGCTGAGAGTAGTTTGTACATTTTGATGAACTGGAGTTTGAATGACAATATTGGCTGCTGGGGAAATGCAGGGTGACCACGTTTATGTCATCTCAGTACCAAGGGAGAGCACTAGGTGTGTGACTGATAGACTGACTGCTTGTCAGGCTGAAATCCTGACTAAAGCAGCAACAAGGAACAGCATCTCTCCATAAGAGTTTTAACATGCCTTTTGCATAGTAGGGCACATGTCTGTTTCCTGTGCATTGTGGAAGGGAATCTACTGTATGTTGTATTCTGGGAGCTCAGTGTTGTTTTGTTCGGTCATGTCTGTTCATGTTTAATAAGTCACATTTTACCTGAGAAACCCATAGAAATCTACACGGCTGCATCGCAATGCTATCTCTCCGTCTTCTATCATGAAGACACTCACTGTCCCAAAGGCATGGCTGTGGTAGTGATTCTGCACTGACTCACAAACCTTCTTTACATTTGACACTGCTCTCTTTCTCCTGCTATCTGTGCGTTTTAGGTTTAGGTTTATCTGTACATTTTCTGTGGTGTAGGCAGCTTTATTTTTTCACATTTTTTCACACTGGCCAAATTCCTTTTAAACCCCCAGGCTTTCTGTGCCGGGGCTGATCCCCGCAGCAGATGGACTGTGTGAATGGTTAGCCATCTTTAAGGGCTCTGACCCCTCCCCCCTCGGCTCCCTGTGTGGTCCCTAACTATTCTTGGATTCCATTCAACAAGAGGCAAGCAGGCAGGCAGGCAAGCAGGCACCACCTCCCTAAAACCCCGTTCCTCCCTCCCTCCTCCTCCTCTCTTCACAAGAAGAAAAAATATAAGTGAATGCAGCTGAAGTTTACCCACCTGTTTTGCACACTCTAAAAGCGCTACAGCAGTTGGTGAATATAAACAGACTCTATGGGGTTTTTTAAGCCCACCATGTCACCAGAGGATGGGGACAGGCAGCTCCCACAGGAGCCGTGTGGAGGTGTTGGAGAAATTACACACTGCTGGTGTCAAGAGAAGTGTTTGCAGGCTGTGCGCTTCACTTGCACAGGAATTTAAATAAGTCCCTGTATTAGGCACTATTAAAAAAACAATCTCTGTAAATGCAGTCCCTGGAATTATTAGGTTTGAAACGCATGAATCAGCTACAAAAGCAGGCAACAAGAGTTTGAATTTCCACAGTCTCCCTTTTCTTTGGTGTCATTCTGGTTAGTGTAAAGCGTCAGGATTACCTCTTGAGCTAATTGGCAGATCCATCTCTTAAAGGAGATGTTTAGATGTTTGTGTGCCAGTTGTTTTGCTGTGGGATTGAGAGAGTTGAACGGGGAATCGGGGTGCTGAAAAGGAATGCTGTGCCTTTAAGAGGCTGTGGCCATGTTTCTAAAGTTTCTGCCTGCCTTGTTTCCACCAATAGCCCATTGACAAAGCTGCTAGGGCCTCAATGGAGAGTAAAGTGGTTCGGTAACAAGGAGAGGTTAGTTCTCCGTCTGTCTTTCTCTTTCACACACACAAACACAGAAAAACACACACACACACACACACACACACATGCACCATTGCACATAAGCCAGAAGAGGGAGGAATGATATGCTCTCTAATAAGACAGCTGGTTTCATATTAAGGGACTCAAAATATTGTTCTGCATTAGTTGTGAAGTTTTATTGGGCTGTGTTTGTGTACATATCTTAACTTAGAAGAGATGTAATTTCTAATGCATACCAGCAAATTATGTCCTTCTTATTTGACTAGCAATCATATGAAACAGCTCTTCCAGGTTGCAGCATAAACAAAACATTCCCACTTGTATCCTAATTTGTTCAGAATAAACTAGCTGTGAAGTGACACCAAATGTGTTAACGCTGCCTGTGTGTGTGTGTGTGTGTGTGTGTGTGTGTGAATGTGTTAGGGGCATATGCTTCCCATCATATATTCATACTAGAGGCTACCCCCACACCACCCCCGCATACACAAACACATACACTTGTCATTTTTGCCACCTTTGGTGTGTACAGCTTGCCTAGCCGTCTGTCTGCCTCCCCGAATTTCCTGACAGCATGCCCGTCTGTCTGCCTGTGCTTTGTGTATGTCTGTTTATATTTATACCTGTCTGTCTGCCTGCTCTGTGAAGTCAGGCCACCAGGGCTTTTTTAATTGCTTCCTCCCTCCTACAAGACCAAAACACTGTGAAGCCGAGCACAGCAGTGTCTGTCTAGAGAGAGTAGACAGAGAAAGACAGAATAGGGAGGTCAGCAAAGTGCAAAGTTAGTTTCCGCACGATGCGTACCTGCATCTTTGTTTGCTCTAAGGATTGCTGTGCATTAGCAAGGAGAACACGGACAAGAAAGTAAAAGGGTTAATCATGCCTTCAGTCCTCACACCTGTGTTGGTAGGAATAAAAGCCACAGTATCAGGGTGTTTAGTCTGACAAGGGGATTAAGGACTATTTGTGGCTTACTGCTCAGTCACTGAGAGAATCTGCTGCAGACATCACCCATCAAAATATCTGAACTTACTCAGACAGGTCTTGTTTAGCAAGCTGTATTTTAAATGTTGGATCTTAAAAGTGGCTGAATTACATTATATTTCTATAATTCCCCAAGTTCTGTAATTTCACTGTAAAGTTTGCAAACTGTCAACATACTTTTCATCCTATATGCTTTATGCTTAGATAGCCTGCCCACCTTTGAGAGTGTGAAAACTGGTGTGAGGTGAGCACTGTGTGACCCAGCCTGTATTGTCCGCCAGCAGAAAAGAGAGAGGGATCGTAAAAAGAGGTGCAGGAAGAAGAGAAGGACGATGAGTGGAGATATTGGGGGGTTGGGGCAGGAACAGGGTGGAAGGTTTATGGCTAGCTGACACTTCTTTTGCCTGTGTTTTTGCCTGTCTCACTTGAACAAACATCAAGTGTGAGGCTGTCTCACGCGTGTCTCTGTCACCATAAAGGACTGTGACAGGGTTTGTTTGTATGAGAGAGAAGTGACTTGAAAAGCTTGAAATGTATACTAAAATTGGATTTCTTATCACAATGTGTTTGGATAATTGTTTTAAGTATTATATCAAATGGTAAGACGTTTCAGCTCAGATTATTCTCCTTTTACATAGAAAAGCTTGTTTGGGAAAGAGAGGAAAGAAATGGCCTCCATGTAAAAGTGGTGGTGTTTACGCTGACATTAACTAAACTCATCCTTCTTGGCAGAGTTTGGGCGAGGCATGACAGACATGTACACATACTCAAGCTGTCTAAATATGAGTGCAGTGAGACATGGCCTATCCAGATAGCAGGCGCACCACATGTCCCATAAAGAGGCCATGTAGAAAGAGGATAGGAAAGGGGGAGGTAAAGACCATACACGGTCCACATAGCATGAATGCATAGAGACAGAAGTTAGCCAGCTAGCAACGAAATCAGACAAGGTCTTTTACAGACATGAGGAGACCAAAAACAGAGTTATTAAAAGAGAGAGAAAGAGAACCTGGATGTCAGAAAACATGTCTGAGTTTGCGCAAATGAGCGAATGCACACGTGGGCATTTCGGTGTTTGGAGCAGTTTCTCTAAACAAACCTCAGAGCGGCACAGCAGGTAAATGCTATAATTCATCGGAGCGCACACAGCACCCCAGTTCAGACAGAGAAAGGGAGCTCTATGAGGCATTATTGGAGGTGAATAGTGCGCGGTGGTGCCCCAGCTAGATAAATAAACTCCCAGCGCTCAGGGCCCAGGACCTCACTGGTAGAGAGAACAAACAAGACCAGAGTCAACCTGGGTCACTTCTAAATGTTTATTTCACCCCCCCCCCCCCCTCTTTTCCCGTCATCCTTCAATCCAAGTCTCCCTCATTCCATCCCTTTTTTCAGCAGCCCCCCCAATACACACACACACACACACACATGCTTTTTAACAGACCACCCTCCAACAAATAAACACAGATTGAGCTGCTATAGATACGTGTGCATATGACAGACACATTGCTTTTGCTTCCATGTTACAGGAAACGCACAGGGCGCACCCTACCTGGGTTTTGTTTTTGAAGAAGTAATTGTAAAACAAAAGTATTCATCATGTGGACTGGATATCAAAGTTACAGCCACATTTACAGTGATAACATGAAAGTGTTGTTTTAGGTGGCCAAGTTTTTGTAGAAAGAGCACCGGACTGTCAGTCTTTGCAACATTGAATGCAATATACTGAGAAAAAGGCTGCAATGCAACTGAAAACAGGATAATGAAAACATGATCAATATAGCTTGGCGCCCTTTCTTTCCTAGCTGAAGAGCAGCTTTTGTCTTTGGTCTGCACGAAATAAAGCGGCACCAGTCACCTTAGAGTTTGCACCATTTGCCTCTGTCTTTACACCATGAAAGTGTAAAAAGTAAAGGGAGAGGGAGATGGAGAGAGACTGAACATTTTCTTGGTTCTCGGGAGGGAAAAAAGAAATGGTTCTTGGGCTCAGTAAATTCATTTCTCTTCTGAATGAGACCAGCAACGTGGAAAAATTTTGCCTTTCAGGCAGGGATGAATGTATGTTTCAACCACACATTAAGCAGTATTAGCGGTCAGTGGAGTGTCTAATGTGACTATTTTTCACAGTGGCCAACTCTGCCCATGATTAGCATAATTAGCAGAGGCAAGCCTATACATATGGAAATAGAAAGTGCCTAAATGCCAACCCTGGTGGAAATTTATGTGTGGTGGCTAACACCACTGGCACATCTGAATAGAATGTAAGTGAAACTGATTTTTCATGTTGTTTTCTCTGTTTTATACTGTTTTTAAGGTGTGATCTCAGGGTGGTTGTTTTTTTCATGATGGTGGGAGCTGCAGGGTTTAAACACATTGAAACCGATTAGATTTGTTTTCTTGTGTTCACACGTTAATTAGAATTTTGTGTCTTTTACGATTAATGAACAGATACAGAGTGCATGTGAAGACAAAAACACACACACACACACACACACACACACACACGCATACTGCATTTCTATAGGTAAGATACCAAAGTGCCAGCTTCTCTTTCTTGCCCCCAGCTTCACCCTCCCACAGCCAACTCGGGCATTGTTTTACAGGCTGGGAAAGTTTTGGTCCATTTGCTTTTGTTGTGAAAAAAACGTCCCCTCTTTATTTTATTCCGCTGTTTGTTGGGAAACATCTGAAAGAAATTGAAGGGTTGAATGACAAAAGGGTCTACATTCAGTCTGGAGCTGCTGTACTTAAGGATTGTATGGAAGAACGGCCCATCTGCTGGGGGCAGCCTACTTTAGGCGGTGCCCTGGCTATAGGGCAGGGCCGGGCTGAGGACCCAAAGTAGGGCATAGTCCTGATTCTGGTGGGTCCATATGTGACAAAAGGACCAAGAGTTTTTTGTGATGCTGGTGCCAGGCCAAGATAATGAATTTCTCATTTGGCTCTTTTGCTGAAAATGAAAAGAATTAAAGGAACACTATTGAAACACTGAAAAAAATGGTGGAGAGAAAAAGTAAATGATGGATAGAAGATGGCAGCCAAGGAGCAGCTTACTGTCTTTCTCTTATATTGTTCGGTAGAACTGTTTTCCCCTTAAATCTATCTTTTATTGAAGGAGATTCATTATAGAAATAAGATGTTCATTTGTCCTGTGTCCTGTCATGCTGTGTAAATCAGGAAAAGGTAACTTCCAATGCACTATGTAGCAGGAGAAAGCATAAATGTCACTTTCAGCCCTCTTCGTCTTGGGTCTTCCTCCATAGCAGCGTGGGGCCTTTCAGAGGCCCTCTAATCCAGCTAATCTACCACACTGAACTTTAAGGTGGCCTGCTCTGACCTAGCATGGCCTGGAACTGGGACTAGCCCTGTAAACCATGAAGACAGAACAGAATAGAATACATTAGAAAGACAACACTTTAAAGGTGGCCTTGCCTCCATCCTAAAAGCCAGATGTGAGAAGCCGCACATATTTTTTAGTTAGGGGATTCTGGGTGTTCAGCTTTTGGGGATGGAAGAGTCAGGTAGAGAGGAAATGACCAAGGTTGGTGGAGACAGGGTCCTATGTTTACACTGGTGCACACACCCACACACCGAGGTACATGTACACACACATTCATACAAACATTATATTTTTATTTCACACTTGCTTTGGCAATAAAGCCTCAATGGCTTGAATTGAATATTTGTACACCCACAGCCATGAAACCATGTCAGGGCTTGTTACGACATTTTGCATTTGCTTTTCGCTTTCCCAGTGTCGTAACTGTTGTGAAAGTGCTTTTAGTGGTGAAACTACTAAATTAATTCACATGATGCACACGACAGAGTCGAGTTGTTTGCTAAAATTTGTAAGTTGATGGTCGAGTTTCTCAAAAACATCCAATTAAAGAACTATGGATGAGATTTAGAAGAAGATGTGATCATTTGTGATAATTTATTTTTTGCCCCATTTTGGATCATGTTGCTAAACACAGACTAATATTTCAAGTAAAAAATTGCTCATGTAATAAAATTACCAGCCACTAAACCCCGACTTCCACACTCAAAGGCAATTTCTTCCCAGGGTGGGAAGATTTCCGGGAACTGTCTCTTTAAGGCAGTGTGGTGTGCAGGCTGAGAGCAGGGAGAGGGTAGGGGGGATTGAAAAAGAAAAAAGAACAGAAAATTAGAAAAAGAGAGGAAAAGGAGAAGAGAAACCAGGGGATAGAAAGAAAGAGATATGAAAAGAAAGGACAAGGTTTCTTCTGGAGTTAGTGGTGAACTGAGCAGAGCTGAAGTGAGCAGAGTAGTTGCGAAGCTCAGAGTTGGGTGGTTGGGGCCAGACCAGGGATTGAGGAGAGAAGGCGAGAAAGAGAGAGAGAGCGAGAGAGAGGGAGAGAAGAGAGAGAACTGGCTGCCTGGGTGGTCCAGATGGGAGGAACGAGACACAAATAGCTATAATTTACTTCAGGAGGCCTGTAATTACAGAGCCAGAGTCTCTCCGAGCCACCCAGTTCCTGTTGGGATCAAAACCCCACACTGCAGAGGTTAACATACGAAATGTCAAAAAAGGTTTAACAGATGTCAAAGAGGTCCACGAACGGAAAGGGTTCCATTTTGTAGTAGCCTTTTTTGATTGGAAATCTGTGTGTCCAATAAATTTAAAGAACCAGTACTCTTTTTGTTAAAAATTACTTAATTTTTAAGAGGCTTGAGGAAATTCGTTATTGTTTTTGTGGCTGCTTTGTGGCAATAAAAGCTTTATTAAAAGCCTCTTGACTTTAAACATTTTGTAAGATCAGATGTCTAAAAGCCTATTCAACAAGAACATGTGCCATTTTGAGTTTTTCTTTTTCTTTTTGGGATGCACTAAGTCAGACACCCGTGACTGCAAATAAACAAATTGACCTTATATTCTCAAGCCCCTGTGCAGGTAATTAAAGCCTTGAAAGCGAAGCCTAGAAATATTGGACTGTGTCTCCAAGGCCCAGAATTCTAACCTGATCTCACACTTTCGCGGCGTAGGCTGAATAGTTTTTTCTTTCTCTACATCAATTATAGGAGCCTCCAGGCTGGGGGAGGTGCAGGGAGCGTGAGGGAAAAAGAGAAAGAGAGAAAGAAAAAAAGAGGAAGACAGAGGGAGAGAAAGACAGAGGCAGGAGCTGTGTTAAGAGTATGAGTGAAATAGATGCAGCCAGGATTGAGTGCAGCATAGGGAAAGTGAGTAAAAGAGTGATGAGAGTTAGAATTAAGGAGGTAGCCCTTGTTTCCGAACCCACCTCCCCTCCTTCTCCCCTTCCCTCCCTCTCTTTCTCTCTCTGGGGTTGTCATGTAGTGGGACAGCAAGAGGGGCAGAAGGGCCCTCTGTGATCCAGCGCGGCATGTTTCATGTCCACTTGGCACAGGCACAGATCCCCCCGGCTGGCAAACTCTTTTCAGGGCAACCTCCTGTAATTAGGGGGCTGGAGTCTACCGCACAGCACAACATAGTGCTCTCTCTCTCTCTCTCTCTCTCTCTCTCTCTCGCTCACTCTCTGTCTTTCTCATCCTCTTTCTATCTCTTTTTTGTTCATCACCACCACTAACATCCATGTTTATCCCTCTATGAATCTATTTACCTTTCTTTATCAACTTGTATCTCCAAGTTCTTTGATATCTTCTCTTCCCAACTTTGGTGTGCCGTACATCACACTGTTTCTCGCTGTTCCCCTTCATCCAGCTCTTCTCTTCTTCAGGGCCTTACTCCAGTGCCTTCGGAGTAGAGTGTATAAAGATCAAGACTGACAAGTTAATTACTCATCGTGATCTTTTCTCATGTATTCAGAATGTCTTTGTGGATTTCTGCTGCCCCGGCAGAGTGGGGCATCAGAAGGCTGGTTTTCCTAACTAACAGGGCACATCTGTTTCACAGAAGGAGCCAATGAGAAGCTGTATTACTCATTTCTCTTGGCCAGACGCTGGCTTGTGTGAAGTGCCTTCAAAACCAACACTGGCGAAGGCCAAGGGCGTTGGTCGATATATGTGTGTGTTTTTGTGCAAGTGTGTGTGCATATACCCATGCAACACACTTTGTTATATGATACAAATGTGTGTGTGTATGTGCATTAAATTTGAATATCTATCTATCTATCTATCTATCTATCTATCTATCTATCTATCTATCTATCTATCTATCTATCTATCTATCTATCTATATCAAGAATTCAGTATTCATTTATCCTTTTTTCTTTGTTTTCCAGCTGGTAGTCGGGTAAGCACGGAACTTCGCTACACCAAGGAGAAGCAGGGAGAGGAGTCAGTATTTACCTCACAGATGCTTATCCAGACCCCCAAAGAAGAGGGCACCAATATTCTTACCCAGGAGGCTTTGCTGGTTCACATGGAAGCGGCCCTGTCTGCCAGCAAGGTCCAGGTGTCACTGTTTGGCAAGTAAGTGAACCACATATATGTAAAGTGAAAACTTTTCCTGTGTTTATGCTTCTGTCAGCAATTAGAGTTCTAAATTAAATTTTTTTTCTCTCTTGTAGATCGTGGGATCTCAATAAAATATGCTATAAATCAGGAGTCCCTATTATAGAAAATGTCATGATTGAAAGGGTAAGTTCACAGCAAATATATTTTTTGGTCGTATATATAAATTCTTTCCCCTAATTTGTGCAGTTTAATCATGCTTCTTTTTTATTTCCTGATCCCAGATGATTGACAAGCTATTCCCCTGTATGATAATCACCCCATTGGACTGTTTTTGGGAAGGGGCCAAACTACAAGGAGGCTCCGCCTATTTACCGTAAGGCTTGGAATATTAGACCCTTTTTTTGCATATTAAAACATTTCACAGAACATCTCAGCTCTCCCTTTGCTGTCATTGCTTCCATCTGACTTGCATTTCATGCAGAGTAGAGCCATTGGAGGGGTCCACAACTTTTAACACATGCTCGATGGAGACATACAGTTGGGCTTTCAATAGTCTGTCAGTGGGCGCTGTGACTGACAGCGGCGGTCAGTAATAGAGTTCTTTTACGGCCCAGAGAGGGACTGGAGGGGGATGTCCTGACACTGAATTCAAAGAGAAAAAGTGAGGGAGAGATGCAGCGAGCGAGGGTGGGATGGAGAGAGAGAGGAGAGATGGCTGCAGCAGCCACTGGGTGGTGGGTTGGTAGAACGGAGGGCGGGGAGGCGGCGGTGGTGGCAGGGGAGCCCTTTGGGTCAGACAATGGTAAGCATTCTTTCAGTTTACGAGTGAGTGTCCATCAGTGCAGGGGCCCCGGAGGAGGGAGGGGGCCCGGCTTTGTCAGCTCACGGCTAACACTCGACATTCTCATGGTAATGCCCCCGGCTCCCAGCTCCCAAGTTGTCCAACAAATAAAATGGGCAGTATTCAACTCAAGTCCCCCGAGAAAGAGAGAGAGAGGCTACAAGACGGTTAACAGTGGAGTCTGGGCGTATTTGGGCATTTGGGGATTCAGTTTTTTTCTTATCCTTTTTTGGGACAAAGTTCTCTTGAGAAATTGAGTGACTGAAAGAGAGCTTTTTTTTGGTCATCAGAAGTGATATTTCAATTGAGTGCTTAGTTTATAAGTGATAGTTTAGATCATAGCAGATGTTTCACTCCAAACAAATTATTTGTTTATATTTCTGTCTCAAGCAGACAACACTATGCTGTATGACAAGCCAGCACACAGAAACAAACACAAGTTTCCCATCCTTAGCATCTCCCAGTTGGCTTGTGTGAAACCAGAGCGACAGAGTAGGAGAAGGGGGTCTTTGATGATGCACATGTCTTCCGAGCATTCCTGTAAATCACACAAAGTGTTCTGCATCTGTTGTTATTTATTGAATGTTTTTTACTCACTTACTCACAGGAGCCAGTGGGAACTTGTGGTGGTCACTGAGGCCTGTGTCTTCTTAGTCAGCTTCCACTTCACTTAAGCTCTGGATTTAAAAGCAAAAAACAAGAAAAAAGAGGGAGATACAGAGAGAGAGAAAGGGGAAGAGGGAGAGAGGCAGATTGGGGATGAGAGTGAGGAAGAGTGGATGAGAGAGAGAGCAAGAGAGAGAAAACTTCGGAGAACAAAGAGCAGCAATCTATGAAAAAACAAAAGGGCCTAGGCCCGGTTCACTCAAGCAAAAACTAGCTGATAAAGGAGTGTGTCTTTGGGAGCAGAAGCAAAAGGGACCCTGGTATGTGGGAATAGAAGAGGAGCTCTCTTCGTGAGCCATTGGAGTGAGATTGGGCCCAGAGCGGAGAGACTTTGGGATTCTTTTATTTCCCTCTCTCACTGTCTTCTTTCCTACTTTGTCTCACTGCAGAAATGCCAATCATGTTGCATATTGCTCCCTCCGACTGTATTTTAGAAAAAAATGTCACATCTAAGATCAAAGTTTCTGTCATACTGTGGATAGGAAATATTTCTGACTTAAACCAGGAATATAATATTAAAGTGGATTGATTCATTTTCTGAATGTTAAACAGTAAAAAAAAAAACTCAAAAAAACAGGTTTCCAAAGTACAGAAAGCTAGTGAGGTAGGCCAAAGCAGGATATCTAGATATAAGACTGTTCAGTTTAGAGTAGATTTATAGACCATAACATAGAGCAGATTATGAATTATTCTTAAGGAGAAGAAGGGTGGCGAAGCAGGTTGAGCTCAGAATTAGCTATTTGTCCGTGAACATCATGCAACAAATAGTGCGAGAGTTCCCCCTTTTCCTCACCTATTTCCTTCCCATGCAGCCTCCCCACCTCTCGCCTTTCCTCCCTGTTTATATCAAGATGTTTGGGTAGGCAGGGGTAATCTTTATGACTCAGTGCAGGACAGTGAGGAATGGAAGTGAGGAGGCAGCCACCGTGCCTTTTCCCGGGGCATTGTGGCAGCGTGAAACAGGATAATAAACGCTTTTTTATCCTGTATCTGCAGCTAGCCTCCTGCGTAGCACGGCACATCGAGGGAGAGAGATTTAAACTGAACTGAAAGAATTATAGTTTTTCTCTTCACAGCAAAGATTAGCAGGAATGCAAAGCCGTGTAGCCTTGCAGGCACAAAGTAATAAAAGTTATTTACAATGTTATTCTTCAAGTTGTTCTTGAAAATGTTAGGGTTGATGTTCATCATACATGTATCTTTACTCTCCAGGGGTATGCCAGATATCCAGTGGATGAATCTAGATCCAGTCAAACTGATGGAGGAATTGAGCCAGTTCACTTCATTGGAAGGATTTAAGGAGATGTTGGACAAAGCCCAGGTAGGACATACACATTTACAGAAGACTTACTCATATGAACAATTAGTTACTCATCTAATTGCATACTTTCCCCCCCAATATGCTGAGACTTTCATAACATTGTTTGATTCCTTAGGTGGGACATGCCTACATGAACAGGCCATGTCTGGACCCTTCAGACCCTGACTGCCCCCTCAGTGCACCCAACAAGGAGCAAGGAGAGGTAAGCTCACACATAAGAATATACAACTTTACATACAGTGAGAAGTTGTAGGTAGATGAATATAGAGCTCAGAGCTACAAAACACCTAACATATTTCTCTGTGTTTTTCCATCTGTTCCTCTGCTGCTCGTCCATTCAGAGTCCTGACATTGCTGGGCGTCTCCAGGGTGGTTGCCATGGTTTTAGCCGGAAGTTCATGCACTGGCAGGAGGAGCTGATCCTGGGGGGGCGGGTCAAGAACAGCCAGGAGACTCTGCTGAGGTGTGTGTTTATTAAGACATGTGAAGAAAGATCAGACACGGCCGTTTCAGGGGATTTTGCTGAGTATCTTATACTAATGCTGTTCTCTTATTAGAAGATGTAATAGTAAGGGAGGGTTGTGCGGTCACCGCCAGCCAAGCAGGCAGTCTGTCAGCCCGTCAGCTTGTGAACCACTGCGACTGTGGAACCTCTGTAACCCCTAATAACCCAACAGACACATGCTAGGAATGCCTCGTACTGAGAGGGATCGGTTTCCTGCGTGACCCAGGTCCAGGAGAGGCCAATTAGAGATGATTGACAGCCACATAAAGCGCCAATCCTATCTCCCCTACCCTGTTACTCATTTGTAGTGTAAGGGATCATAGAAGAAGATACAGAAGAAGGAAAAAATCACTCTAATTCACAAGACTTTCTCTAGATTGTTGTCTTTTCCCTATTGACTTCAGCTGCATTTAAAAGCATGGCCAAAACAAATGTCGTGACAGTACTGGGTCAGAGCCCAGATCATGACCCACACAGACCCAACACAGCCTTGAATGAAAGAGGATTCCAGTCCCATCTGCAGGAGCAGCACTTACTCTCGGATGTGATTTATGATCATTTCTTTCACATTTTCAGCAGCACTGCTGCACACTGTGGCTGTGCCAAGAAAACCTGAGGACATCTGGGATCGCAGCCGAGAGACCGGCAGACAGACAGACTAGATAACACCTGTTTTTAGCTTTTTACATTGGAAGAGAGACAGGCAGGCAGGCGGACAAATACTATAAGGAACGGCACTTGCCTTTAGCCATTATCAGAAAGGCATGTTCCTGTTACCAAGAAGATCTAAACATTCTGACTGGATGATTTTTAATGTGCTAGCTGTGAGATCGATGATGCAATTGACGTTTCAACTCACCTCAACACACAGTAAACCATGTTTGCAGGGGAAGCGTGACAGCTCTTATGTATCCTGTGCTTACACTTGTGTGTTTTCCAGTGCGGAGGCTCTCCAAACCATGTTCCTGTTGATGAGTCCTAAGCAGCTGTACGAGCACTTTAAAGACGACTACGAGATCCATGACATAAACTGGAATGAAGAAAAGGCTACCGCCATCCTCGAGTCCTGGCAGAGGAAGTTTGTGGAGGTGCGAAAATACACACATATTTCTTATATTCAAATGCACACATAAAGATGGACAGGATTATAGTTTTATTGTAGCCACCCAGAAGAAGAGAAAGGAAAGGAAAGAGCCTTTTCACTCTTGTTTTGCTTTGGTATACACACACACACACACACTGCATGGGACTTATTCTGCAGTGTCTGAATTCCATCAGTCTTCAGCCCCCTTGTAAATCGAATCACAGGGCAGACCAGGGCATTAGATGTGTGTATGCTTGTGTGTGTGTGTGTGGTAGGCCAACCATCTCTCTCTGTCAGAGCCCTAGTTATAGGAACAAGCTGTTGCTGTGATAGCTGACACCCACCACGTTGAGGGGAAGGAGAGAGGGAGGGAGGATGTGATGAAGGAAGGGAGAAGGGGTAACAAACTACAACATAAACTGACAGAGACACAAAACCTCTTCCTGACACATTAAAGAACAAGAACAGATCTATCTGAGATTTGGGAATGATGACTTAATGCAGACAGGTAAATAGCTTTGGGGAGCATTAGTCCATTCATGGCACAGTGGGAAGAGTCGCCATGTGATCCCATCCCTTTCACCTTTGACCTCACAACCTCTGGCATCTGTGCTCATTACTCATCAGTTGTCATACATACACACACACATGTAAAGAAAGACAAAAAAAACACACACACAAACACATGCACAGACACACATTCATATATACTTTCACATGCATTTCAAAGGGACAGGGTGATTTTTCAGTTTGAGGGCCCTAAAATATGGGGCCGTAGGAGAGGCTCGGGCCAGCATTGGTCATAGAGAGGAAGTGTGTTTTCATGTGAAAAAAAAGTGCAGCGTGTGTTGCTCCGCAGTTCAGCCCTTTGAAGGTACACATAGCTATCACCCCCAGTGCTTTTTTAAATCTATTTGTTAATCATGTAGGTAATGAGCTAAATAATACAAATTATAGTGTTTTTTATGAATAGCAAATTACATTTTAGAGATGGAAGTATTTAGCCGGACTTTATTGAGATTAATTGATGTTTATCCCCTAGGTGGTCCACCAGAGTATCCCATCCAACTCCAGCCAGTCCATCCACGCTTTCTCCACCACCACCCTCAATGACATCATGAAATCTTTCTCTGATGTCAGCGTCATCAGGGTGGCCGGAGGATACCTTCTCATGGTGAGCTTAATGATTGATTTAAATCAACCGATTACGGCTCGTAAGTTCACAAACAATATTTTACTTTACTGTAAAATAACTCATTTAATGTGGGTTTCTCCTCTCTAGCTGGCCTATGCCTGTGTGACCATGCTAAGGTGGGACTGTGCCAAGTCCCAGGGGGCCGTAGGGCTAGCTGGGGTGCTGTTAGTGGCTCTGTCGGTGGCCGCAGGACTGGGTCTGTGCTCCCTGCTTGGCCTATCCTTCAATGCTGCCACCACACAGGTACAACACAAAGGAAACAACATCCTAAGTTACAAATTACTTTTAAAGAGGGTCTTTCTTTGATTTAAAGCCGAGATTTTGATGTCGCTCACTTCAAATGTTCATTCTGACCCTTTCCCCACCACAGGTGCTTCCCTTCCTGGCTCTAGGGATTGGTGTGGATGACATGTTTCTGTTGGCTCATTCCTTCACAGAGGCTGGAAGCAACATCCCCTTTAAGGTACCTTTAAGACTCTCCTCTCCTCTCCTCTCCTCTCCTCCTCTCCTCTCCTCTCCTCTCCTCTCCTCTCCTCTCCTCTCCTCTCCTCTCCTCCTCTCCTCTCCTCTCCTCTTAATGCTGACTGTTTTTGTTTTAAAGGAGCGGACAGGAGACTGTTTGCGTCGCACCGGCACCAGTGTGGCTCTGACTTCCATCAACAACATGATTGCGTTTTTTATGGCCGCTCTCGTACCCATTCCTGCCTTGCGAGCTTTCTCTTTGCAGGTATGTTTTGCACACACCAGCACCCTTGTGCGCATGCGCACAGTCATGAACACATGTACACAATCGCACACAGAGAGGCCTGAGGCGCCTTTGAAAATGAAAGAGATAACTTAAGAGAGGTGACATTTATTCAGAGCAAGGAAAGTCTTTGTTCCCACTTTTATTGCTGCTGCACCTACAGGACCGGCATTTCTTTGTGTGTGCATGTCTCTGCGTGTGTGTATATGTGCTTAAGTGTTTTGCGTGTGTGCATGTGTGTGGAACAATCAGAGCAAAAAGAGTGATGAACAGAGAGAGAGAGGAGAGAGAGAGGGAGGAAGGAGTGGATCAGTATATCACTGGCCCGTCAAAGCAGTTTGCTCTGATCTGTGACTAACCGTGGGTGGTCTGAAACACACAAGCACACACACAGATACACACACATAGACGTACACACTTTGGAAACCACAGCCAGTGAGAATGTCAGCTTCAGGGGCTGGGGTGAGTAGGGAGGCAGCAGCGGCGGTGGTGAGGGGTGATGGTTTTGCTCAGACTCGCAACATATTCCCTCCCTGCTCTTTTCTCTCAGTCTTTCTAGTAGTTCTTTCATTCTGGCACTCCTTTCTTTCTTTTCTCTGTCTCTCTCTCCCTCTCCCCTTCTGGCTCGCTTACTATTCCTGGCTGGTGATTTAAAGTAAACCTTTTCTTTACTTTTTGGGCTGTGGTCTGAGATACTATAATAAAAAAAGAAGGAGCCTTGACTCTCCCCAGCTGGGGTAGGCTGTCTGTAATTTCACATACTGTTCTCTGTCTTTTCTCACTTTGTTTTTCAATTTTTTTTCTCTCCCTAGGCGGCCATTGTGGTTGTGTTTAACTTCGCCATGGTGCTGCTCATCTTCCCTGCCATCCTCAGTTTGGACCTCCACCGGCGCGAGGACAAGCGTTTGGATATCCTCTGCTGCCTGTACAGCCCCTGCTCCGACCGAGTCATTCACCTCTCTCCGCACGAGCTGTCAGACGCTGGGGAGCAGCCGCCCACGCCTACGACGGCAACGGCGCACACACACCAGTACACGTCGGGATCAACAATCACCACCAGCACCCAAATCACCACCACAGTGCAGGCATTCACGCAGTGTGACGCAGCAGGCCAGCATATCGTCACCATCCTACCACCTACCTCACAGATCTCCACCAGCCCGCAATCCATCATCATCTGCCCCACTTCACAGCCTCAAGGTAAATTAAGCTAAAATAAGCTTCTGATAATTCTGTTATTATGTACAAAGCACTCTCTAAAGTCAGTTAAATAAATCATGATACCAAATTTCCTTCCCCTAGCCATCACACCTTCCCCTACCACCACCTCTGTGCCGGACCCCTATGGCTCCCAGCTCTTCACCCCTACCTCCAGCTCCACACGGGACCTCCTAGCCCAGGTAGAGGATTCCAAATCGGGAAAGGAGTGCGTCCCACTCCCTTTCCTACACTGGAACCTGTCCAACTTCGCCAGGGAGAAATACGCCCCTCTGCTCCTCAAGCCCAAAAGCAAAGCCATCGTGGTGGTTCTCTTTCTGGGCCTCCTGGGACTCAGCCTGTATGGGACCACAATGGTGCACGACGGCCTCTACTTAACCGACATCGTGCCACGCGACACCAAGGAATATGATTTCATTGACGCCCAGTTCAAGTACTTTTCCTTCTACAACATGTACCTGGTGACCATGGACAGATTTGATTACGCCCGGTCACAGAGGCTGTTGGTCCAGCTGCACAATGCCTTCAACTCTGTTAAATACGTGGTCAGAGACAGCAACGACAAACTGCCCCGCATGTGGCTGCACTACTTCCAGGACTGGCTTAGAGGTAAGAATTCAGGCTTGAGTAATGTTATTTCTTTGAGTGAGTCAGGTAATTAGTTGCTCCATGTTCCCCTGAGGGTTTTTGATATTGATGTCAGAATTTGGTGGCGGGTGCAACAGGTTTATTCAGGTCTACTTTTTTTTTTTTACGAAGGACAGTAGTGAATATGTGTGTGAGTGTGTGTCTGTGTGTGTCTGTGTGTGTGCAAGGGTGAGAATGTGCAAAAGGGTGAGCGAAAGTTCAGTCAAGCCCCCATCCACCTGGGCTTTGGGGTGGTGCAGTACACGGGTTGTTGTCATAGGTTATCTTTGTGTGTGTGTGTGTGTGTGTGTGTGTGTGTGTGTGTGTCCTCAGGCTAGAGTGTCAGAGGCCCAGTCAAGAGGAAGTGATAACTAACAGGTCAATCAGAGCCAGCTGAAAAAAAGATGGAAAAGGAAACTTGATATTTCACATTTTCAACATCATTACCCACATGTCAGAGACACGCAGGAAGGCGCCTGTAATTTCATCATAATATGAATCATAATATTTATAAGCGATAAACACAATAATCGTTTCTTCTTTCTTTTTCCTTTCTGTGTGTGTTTTACCTCCCACGCAGGTCTTCAGGCTGCTTTTGATGCTGACTGGCAGGCAGGCAGGATTACCTCTGACAGCTATCGTAATGGCACAGAGGACGGAGCTCTGGCGTACAAGCTCCTCATCCAGACCGGCTCCAAGAAAGAGCCTTTTAACTACAGCCAGGTATGTCCACGAAAAAATGCTTGAATCACATGTCATTCCTATAACAGTGTGTGTGTGGCATTGTGGACAACTACATTATCACCTGTCTTTTTATCCATTTTTTCTGACCAAAACTCAGTACACGAGTGGCCATTAAATCCACATTTTTGAATCACTTTTATCCAGCTGACCTCTCGTCGGCTGGTGGATGCAGAGGGTTTGATCCTCCCGGAGGTGTTTTACATTTACCTGACAGTCTGGGTCAGCAACGATCCCCTGGGCTATGCTGCCTCCCAGGCCAACTTCTACCCCCATCCTCGTGAGTGGATTCACGACAAGTATGACACTACAGGGGAGAATCTGCGCAGTAAGTAAATGTTAAAAGCATTATTTTTGTGGATATGTCAGGAAATGCCTTGCAGCACCAACAGCAAATGATCTGATCTCAAATCTCACCTTTCTTCTCATCCTCTATTTTAGTCCCAGCTGCAGAGCCCCTGGAGTTTGCCCAGTTCCCCTTCTACCTGAACGGCCTTCGCCAGGCCAGCGACTTTGTGGAGGCCATCGAGAGTGTGCGGGCCATCTGTGATGAGTTTAGCCGCAAGGGCGTGTACAACTACCCTAATGGATACCCCTTCCTGTTCTGGGAGCAGTATATTGGCCTCAGACACTGGTTCCTTCTGGCGATCAGCGTGGTGCTGGCCTGCACCTTCCTGGTCTGTGCGATTCTCCTGCTCAACCCCTGGACTGCCGGCATCATTGTAAGCAATCCGTTTGCCCTACAACTCTTCATCATGCCATCCTCTTCCTCCTCCTTCCTATTGCTCTTCTTTTCCACCCTTGCCTGTTTCTGTCTTACATTTTCCACCTCATGCTACCTCAACAACATCATTAGCCCCTTTCTCCCTCTATCCTTCCTCTCACTTTCTTCTCACCCTTCTCAACACAGCTCAATAACGCTGTCTAGGGGGCCCCTTTTTCTCTGCAGAGGGCCAGTACACACACACACACTCACACACACACACACACACACACACAGGGATCTTTGTCATTCTAATGTAGGCTGGGCCGGCCTTAGAAAAGGAAATGCAAAGGAGCAAGAAAGGCTTTGCCCTCCTGAAGCCTCTACCTCCAACTCCCTCGCTGCTTTTGTCAGAGGGAGAGGGAGAGACTTGGGGACAGGACAGATCTGCCGAGTTGCGACCTTGGCCTGCTCAGCCCATCCATCAGGCACATGTGTGTGTGTGTGTGAGAGAGAGAGAGAGAGAGAGAGAGAGAGAGAGAGAGAGAGAGAGAAAAGGAGACAGCCTAAGTGTTCAGCAGTTGGAAAACATTTCACACACAAGCTGGTGGGACCGGTGGTCTTTAAGGGCCCCCCAGACCCACACACAAATCCACATATCCCTGACCATTGGGGGGGGCTGAAGTGTAGCACAACAACAGTGCCAGTTTCAGTTGGAATGTGTTTCATTTAAGTAGTACTGATTGAGACAGCAACACAGCTCAATCTCCTCAAAAAGAGAAAGAGGCACAGCTACATGCATGTTGAATTTCCAAGCATCAGCCCCCTGGTAAGGGGTTTCACCCAGCCTGTATGTGGTCGAGCAGTAAAACGGCTTTTATCATTTCCAATTTAAACGTGCCCCAGCTCGGAGCCCCTGCTGGGATCAAAAGCTCCTGTTGGCCAGGAATCGTTTGCTCCTCCTCGTCTTTTAAGACCTGTTGTTGCTGTTTGTATTGCGGTTCACAGTAACATCACACGTTTACTATTACGACATTAGTGAAAGTGAAACACTGCATTAGATGTTGCTTTAAAATATCGGAAACAATAAAATAAGCAAACAGGCTGGTATCTAGTTAAGAACAAGAGCATTTGTTTTCCACAAACAGAGACAGATGTATGTTTGAATACGGGTGTTATGGTTGTGGCCACACTCGCTGGCACTGTCAGTCATTTCAACCACCTCTGGGAAGGAAGAAAAAGAGAAGGAAGGAGGGAGGAAGGTATTAGCCTCAGGGTGGGTAATTTGATGCCATTTGAGATCCTGAGCACAGGGTCAAAGATTGTGTGGGGTGAAGAGGCAAAAGGGCTCAACTCAGTCACTAAGGAAGGACATATTCACTTTCATTGTTTGCATGCTTTTATTTTTGTTTTATTTAATTTACTCGCTTGTTTCTTCTTCATCTGACTGTTTCCCAAATAGGCAAAATGGTTTTGTTTGTAACACTTTCTTTCCACGCCTTCTTTCCAGGTGTTTATCTTGGCCATGATGACGGTGGAGTTGTTTGGCATCATGGGTCTAATTGGCATCAAGCTGAGTGCCATCCCTGTGGTTATCTTGATTGCCTCTGTGGGCATCGGAGTGGAGTTCACTGTTCACATCGCACTGGTAAGTCGAGACTCAGTCGCACAATGCAAGCACACACATGGATTAACTGTTAGGGGGACTGAGCTCCTACAATTAAACACCTACTTTACTTGAAACCTGATACTTTGGTCTGAATGTTAAATACCTACTACATATGTGACCACAAGGGTGCTGATAGTTCTATGTGGAAGATCCAGTAATAGTATTTTTTAAATTATTAATTAGATGTAATTTTTCTTCAAGGATTTGTAATTGACATTTTATAAAAGCATTAAGCTGCATTTTCCAAATGTTTTGGGTTGTTTTAAAATCAGTGCAAAGCTCTTGTGGCTTAATGCCTGAAATGGAAAGTGATTAAGGTAAAATAAATGTGATTAAACATTTACTAGGAAACTCGTGATCCTCAACAAAACCAAATGCAGAAATTCGGCAAGATTTCCAACTCATTTCTCCTCTCCCCCTGCGCCACAGGGCTTCCTGACAGCGATTGGCAACAGAAACAAGCGCTCCGCAGTGGCTCTGGAGCACATGTTTGCCCCGGTGGTTGATGGAGCGATCTCCACGCTGCTGGGCGTTCTCATGCTGGCTGGGTCAGAGTTTGACTTCATCATGAGGTGAGACGCTGTTTTTTGTCTGCATCTGTGTATGTGTGTGTGGCGACGTACGTGCATTTGACAAGGTGTGCTGACTTTGTGCTTACGTGTGAGAGAGGGACAGTGCTCACTCACACACCAACGGTGTATACACCCTCCACAGCCCATCTGTTACCCTCAGAAGAAGCAGTGTTTTGCTTTGCCCCATTGGTGTGTGTGTGTGTGTGTGTGTGTGTGTATCTATATGTGTGGAACCAGTTGTCTAGCCTCAAGGGGATGGGAGGAAGCCTTGTGGGGTGTCAGGGCTGCATACAGGTGGAAATGTTATACCCCTATTTATGCACACACACAGTAACAAATATGCACCCGGTTCTGTCACTCTGGGCAAATACACATCCGTCTCCTCAACCTCAGAGTACAACAAATGGGAAAAACATCAAGGGTGTGCAGCAGCTGCTCGTAAACATGGAAGTGTTCTGCTACCCACTGGGTGATGCCTCTCTCTCTCTCTCTCTCTCTCTCTGTTTCTCTGGGTCTCTTTCTCTCTCTCTCTCGCACACACAAACACATACAAGAGGGAATCTGTAAAAATTCCTATCATCCGTTTGGCATTCTTTCCCTCCATGTTGAGTGCCATAATAAAAAGTGGAGCTAAATTTGAACTGGTCAGCCAGTCAAGCCCACCAACAGACATCGCTCCCCTCTGCATGTATGTATGTGTGTGTGTGTGTGTGTGTGTGTGTGAGTGCATGTAAAATGTGTGTACTCGTGTGTGCATGTGTTTGCTACCACTGTTTTATGGTCAGAGTGGAAAAAAGGCGAATAGCTCGATGTTTTTCAACCGAATGTGGTCCAGGCCCAAACCCGAAACCACAACCTTGAGCTCACAGACTGCTACAGGCCTCCATGACATAAAAAAGCACAGTTTTTCTGAAGAAACAGAGACAGAGGCAGAGAGAGGAGGAGAAGTACTCTGAGGGTGGCTTCCTCGCAAGAATATGAGTTCCTGGTGGGTGGGTAGATGAACGGATGAACGGATCCTCCACAGTGTTGGATTGGATAGATAAAGAGGTGTGAATATGTAGAAAGAGAGAGAAATTGAGAATAAATAGGCAGAACGATTTGGGAAGAAGAAAGTCACAGAGAGCATCGTGTTTTTCTTCTTGTGAGAGATCACTTTTCAAAGGACAGGGTGAGAAGGAGAGACAGAAAGGGTCTAGTATCTCTGTTGGAGGTCTTGTTTAGCTGTAGCTGTAGCTGTGGTCGGGTGAATGGGGCAAGCCAGAACTGGCTAGTTGGGGAGTAGCATAAATATACTGCTGTAAACATCTCCTGGTCTTGTAATGCTCTGAATAAACAGCAAGCCTAATTCAGCTCTGCTCAGGGTCCTCTCTCACTCTCACTCACGTAGAATGCATGCACACACACACATATGCGGGGTACATATGCATGCACACAGGCACACACAAGGAGAAATGCACATATGTACAGGCATGTAAACACTTACGCTCTCTTTCTCACACACACATACACACACGACTCCCCAGGCCCTGACAACAAATGGAAAAGATTACAGTTTATATAAACAACAGAATTCCTAACAGTGAGACACTGTTGGAGGTCCCACCAATGTCTCACTCTCTTTCTTTCTGTCTCACTCCAGCTTCTTTATTTCACCACGTAAAGAAGCTGGAGTGTAGTTTGGGAGTAAACTAAGCAAGTGAGCTTAGAAGTGGAGGCCAATGCTACGCCATAAACCCCATGATGACATATTTGTGATTTCGCATGCATCTGCATGTGAATGTGCTTTAATTCAATAAAGCATGCGGATTAAATATCCACGTGTGGTTTAAAGACAGTCCTGGTTTGAGCAGAGGATAGGTTAGGATGACATGCATTATACTTCTGATACAGGTTAGAAAGCAAGGACGGCGGCTAAAAGGGGGAAAATATGACAGAGATATGAATATGAATAAGGACTGTGAAATCACACCCAACACGCAAACCATGAACTCCTTCCTGAAGAGTGACCTTTCTGAAGTGAAGTAGTAGCAGTAATCACTGTAGTAGTCCATTCAGAGCAGGAGCATGTTTCCAGAACACTATGCAGCTATTATCCCTTTCCTTGTTGGCTGTTTTTTCTTCATTCCAACAATCATTTTTTTCCTCTCTCTTTCTATTACCTCTTTAAGTCTGACTGGTGGTTAGCATCTCACTGTCTCTCTGTTTCTGCTTTCTGTTAGTGTTTAAGTGGAGTCCTCTCTAATTTTCTTGTGGAGCTCTTTCTTGTGGCCTGCCTCCACCCCTGGCCTCCTCAGAGCTCCACTGAGATGCACGCACACACAGAAAAACGCGCATACAGCGTGAGTGAAAAACAGAGCGAGAGAAAGTCTTGTAGCAGCAGCAGTGGCATCAAAGCATGTTTTAGTTGGACTGAGCGGGGAATCAGATTTGCCCCCTCCCTCCCCCCACCTCCTCTTTGATACACAAACACTGGGCTTTCCCTGACTTCTACCCCTGAGCTACTTCCCTTCCTCATGTGCCAACAATGTGTGTGTGTGTTTGGAGCTGTGCATGCACATATGTGTTCTTGTCCACATAAAACATCAGATCACAGTAGCCTTCACCCCTTATTTTGTCACATTAAAAGAAAAGTGTAAGTGAAAAGTGTTAAAATTGTTAAATGATCTAAATCCATATGAACTTTGGCAAATCCCTAAAAACCTTAAGATGCAAATGAAAATAAGATTAAATGGATTCTGGCTCTGTGTGATTGTGAGTAGGTACACATGTATATGCAATTTCCAATGCATGTGTGGGTGTGGGTGTGTGGGCGATCTAGCTGATGCATGGCAGAAGAGAAGGATCAGGCAGACCTGTAGTGTAAACAGAGAGGTGCTTTGGTATTGCCTGACCTCAACTAAAATCCAACTGAGTTAACAATTAGCAGCTGCTACTTGCTAACAAGAAAGGTTTGGTGACTCTCATTGCTCTCGTACTATATTTCTCACTAACTCACTTCTTGTTTTAGACAGGGAAAAGGCATTACAGGATGCTGACCAGCTGGTTTTGATCAGAAACTGGTTATTTCTAGCACTAATTGTGTCTTTTTTAGGTTCATTAAAACTAATGTACCTCATCTCTCCATCCTTCAGGTATTTCTTTGCTGTGTTGGCCATCCTGACTGTTTTGGGGATGCTGAATGGCTTGGTTCTCCTACCAGTCCTCCTGTCCATGATGGGGCCGCCGGCTGAGGTCACCCCAGTTGACAATGCCAGCCGCCTTTCCACGCCTTCCCCTGAACCCCCACTGCCCCCACCAATGACCCACCATGGCTACTACACGGGCCACCATAACCCACGGTCACCTCGTCAACAGGCTTTTTCGGAGTCATCGGACTCTGAGTATTACTCGGAGATGACCACCACTTCAGGGATCGGGGAGGAGGATTATAAGTACTGTGACCGGAACGCGTACATAGCATCGCACACCAGCGTCCCACCTGCAACATCTCACATACTGCTGGAAGCCAGCAAGAACCCCAGCTTCCCCAAGCTTACGGTACGACCACACATATAAGAGAGAAACCATTCCGGTATGTTCACATTTTCTTCAAATCCATGTGTGTTTTTCTGAAAGTAAACAATGAAACTTTATTTGTCGTAGGTGGTGAAGCCCTTTAGAGAAAATGCAGCGGGCGGTGGTGGAAGGATAGAACCGTTAAATGAATCTTCCCACAACGTACAGTCACCGCTCGGCTCCCAGATTACATGCTGGGATGGAAACAAGCGGGAGCAACAGCAGGGCCTCCACAGGCTCCAGGCACAGCAAGGCCAACACTTACCCAGCGACAGAGCTCACTTCCCTGGTAGGACTTGTCAAAGCGGCCCCAGGCTGCAGAATGGCAGAGGGCCTCAGCCAAACAGGACTAAAGGGCCAAGCTATATTAATAGCAATTCTGCCCTGCCGATGCAACAAAGCTCCACTGGGGGACCTGTTACAATGGTAACGGCCACAGCCTCAGTGACGGTAGCTGTGCATCCGACCTTGCCAGGGGCGGCATACCAAGGCTACATGCATGAAGGTTTTGACACGGACACTGAGTCAGACTGTTTTGAGGCTGCTAAGAGGACTTGTGGTGACAAAACAAACTTTTCTTCATGTAAGAGAGACTCTCTAGAGCTCCAAGACTTGGAAGCAACACAGGGCCAGACAGAGCATCAGCTCTGCAAGACACAAGGTGAGTTAGCAACCAGTCAATCTTAGCTTTACCTGACTTGTAATCTTCTAAATATGCATATAAAGAGTTGACATTTGACTTGTTTTTCAATGAGATGAAACAATTCGTAGCCTTTCTAGCCTTAATTTCTCTTTGTTTGTCAAAGTGTCTAACGCTCATCTCTTTACTTTGTTTTTCTGCTGTAGGTGGGTTGAGGATGCAGGCAGCCAAAGATTGCTAGACTCTCTCACACGCCCTGCCTTCTCTCTCCGAAGCTCTGGCTGCTTCCCAGAGCACCTTGACGCCCCCATGGCGTCACATCACGTCTTGAACTGATCAACTGTACTTAAAAAGGAGAGGATTTATTTCAAGGACAAATTCAGAAAAAAATATGCCGTTTTAAGAATTATATAAATCTATGAGTATATATTTTAATACTAAAAAAAGAAGGAAGCTATTTAAAAGAGTACTGTATAACTTGGGTATACTCTTGTGTTCAGATGTAAAAGATTATTTGTCCCCCACAGTGTATAGAATAAGAAATGTGTTATATGTAAAAAGTGTCCACAAAAAGTGAGATGTTATTAAGATATTAGGCTATTGAACATACATTTCAGTGTCAGTGTTTTATTTCTATTTGTATTGGTATGTTCTTTTTTTGCTGCTACACTTTTAATTTTAAGTGATTTGCCTTAAAAAATGCAGTACCCCCCCTTCCCCCTCTGGTTATAGTCTAGTATAACTTTGTTCACAGTATTGTACTGTGGGACAGTCTGCATCTGACACACTCTCTGTTGTATTTTAACTATAGAACATCTCTGTCACAGTGTGCACTGTTAAAAAAAGCAGAGAATTACACAGCAGAAACTGTTTTCTTAACAGTAGTAACCGTTGTGCCTTCAATTTGCCCCCTTTTAGAGCTCAGTATTATGTCCTTGCTTTTGGCGTAAATATGTTTTACCTGTCTCGTCCAGACACAGCAGACTGATGTTTATCAGTCATCACATCATCTGCCCATCTGTCTGAATAGTGTTGAATGTGATCAGTCAGCCAACATACTGGCAGAGTCGCAGCTAATTCATATTAATGTTAAATCTTTGTCTGGGTGTCCCAATATCCTCTGCAGTTCAAACTACTTGAAGGAGCTGTGATAAGATGCTTTTTTCTTCTGCAGTTTTTGTAAGCTCTACAGTGGGTGAAGTTCACATTTGTCACGTTGTGTTTGGCAATTGCGTTGTTCACCTTCTTGTATTATTTTGAAAGGGAATTCGAAAATCCAATGCAAAGGGAGTGATTATATTTTATTATATCATTATTATTTTCTCCTTTTTTTCCTTTGCTGGCTGCTTTAGGGTTGTAACACGTTGAGGCTGTTGTGACCCTGTGCAAATATTACATAATGTAAACAGGTTCAAACTTTATAATGCTTCCACCTGCTCTGACTCACTTTCTAATTTCTCAGTCTTCTTGCTAATACAGACCTCATATATGTCACATTGCATTTTTTTTTTTTTCATTCTTAGGATTTTCATGTAATTTGCTTTACAAAGTTTCCATTGTTGTTGTTCAGTATTGGTCTCATCACTGCTAGGTTAAAATTGCAGGGAAAAACATGCGGATCTATTTTTCAAATATTTACATACTTTAAGTGGCAGCTTTGGTTTCTTTTGAAAATATGAAAGAAAGGTGAAGTAGCTACTGTGCAGTTGTGAATAATTAAGCAAAATGAGCAAAGCACCATTTACAGTTTGATCAGACCATAGACAGCCAGCATGTGTTGTCAGACAGTATAGAGGAGTTTAAAAGGGGACAGGGGGATTAAGGGGGAGCTCCTGCATTGGTTTGTAGTTTATTTCAAAAAATTGTTAATGTCATGCCATATAAGTTATTTATATTAAAAATTTATTTTTGTAGTTTGTACAGATGTTAGTATCTAGACTGAAGTTCTATTTTTAAAGAGTGAATATATATTATATAATATATCTATTTGTTGCAGAGTTTGTTTTTGTTTTGTTTTGTTTGCATTTTGGGATGGGGGGAGGGGGGTTGTGGGAGGGAGGGGATGACAACACTTTAGAGCAGAGGCCTTTTTTGGGGGGGTGGAGCAAAAGGGGCAGTAGGGGGACCATGAAGGAGAAGGTGTGTAGGATTGTGTCACTGTTACACCTTGCTTTTAAGTTTCCTCTTGGCCCCTCTTCTTCATTGTCATTTTTAAAAATGTTCTTGTCCATGTCTAAAACACTGTGACTTCTGAAAACTATGCTCAAGAAAACATTTGTGTGACCGTTATGTTCCCTCACCTGCTATAGAAATTTAACTAACAAAATAAATTGAAGGAAAAAATCTTTCTGTGGTCTTTGTCAGTCTTTTCGAGTGTGTGTTTGCGTGTGTTTGCCTGTGACCCTGCGAAGAGCCAAAGGGTCACTACTGTTATCACAAATGCACACGAGCTAATTTACAAACTGACGGTGTTTGCTGGTTAAATATACTGGTAAATAGGCCTACACTATTATCAAAGTTCATTGTTGAGGTGGGAAACAAAAGGTTTGATTTCAGCTTGCTGATACTTTAAACCCAGAAGTATCCATGTATCTATTATAAGGCCAGAATCATGAACAATGAAATCAGCTAGATCCTTAAGAAAATAGCTCTTTTTAAGATCTCTCAGCCACATTAATCAGGGACAAACACAACTATTCCCATTCTAGAGAAGTTGTACAGGACAAATCACAAATCATGCTCACGTGACAAACAATAGGCCTTCATTTTAAAGGTATTACTGCACCAGCAAAAGATTGAAAGATAGGTCTATATCCGTGCCAGAACAGCACCTGCTGAAATTATATCCAAGTAGATATTATGAATGAGGCTTCATCTGACATTCAGCTCTTATCCAAGCTGTTTCAACAAGTCTCTGCTTGGACTTGATCCACACATATTCAAAAAGTCTTGCTTAATAATCAGACTAGATCCTGCGTCTTATTTCCCCAAACTAGCACCCAAACACCCAATACGGCAGTGTCATGTTAGTCCATCCATCCACATCTTCCCTTCAGAGCAATATTCCTTTGACAACTGATATAGAGGTTTTCACGGTCCTCAGAGGATAATCCTCCAGATTTTGGTAACATCTTCGATCTTTTGTCGAGTGCTCCAATAAAAATGTTTTCCCTTGACCTTGATCCATGACAAGTTATCTCCAAATTAAATAGCTGCACTTCTATACAGTTTTGCTGCTGCCATTCATAGTCACGGTATGATGAACAATTTCCATTTTGGACACTCTTTCTCTAGCACCACCCTCAGGCCATTATGTTAACACACTTGATAACTCGTAATAATAATAGGCAGATTACCATGGAATTAGATGAGGACATTCATGCTGCCCAAAATCTTTACGATCCCCGTGGCATTTCCTTTATCTCCAGCATCAGGATAAGTTCCATGCACCACTGTTATTATATCTTTTGTCAAATACCAAATTTGCATGTTTTGATAAACACTGCAACATCAAATGAAGGCTTGATTTTTGTTTGTTTTATATTAAATGCAGCCTGGGGACCATATACACAACAGTTATAGGAAAGCATGACATAAAGTCAAGATTATTGTAATACCCCAAGAAGCCAAGACTTTTTTGTGTTAAATAAAATATTACATTTACTGACTTGAGTATTATGAGACATATCATTCTAATCATTTCATTAAATACATGTGGTAGTGCAAGATAGAATAAGATGGTATGTTGTTTTATTGTTCATTGTGCCTGAGGTGTGTTTTCATTGTGCAAGCATTCATTACGCTCCGCTTCCTGTACGTCACCTGACACCTACTGAAAGACCAACAAGCCTGATTTAGGAAATAATCCTTCAAAATGTTTTACCTGGCTTACACACTTTACAGTCACATTCCTGCTTGTTTGATAAGGTTTCTTATTAGAATGACAAATCTATTTCTTATTTAGAATTTTTACAAGGGTGTTTAAAAAGTCTCCACTTCATGAACAATGACTGAACATTGAGAACCACAGAACTGGAGCACTGAACCACCTGGAAAGTGTCTGGGATCACTGGCTTCCTGGATCATTGTTGTGACTCGTCTGTCTAAATCTCCACCATTGTGAATTCAGACACACACGCACGCACACCTACGCACATTAGCACACATGCCCAAGTTCACACGCTCACATTCACAATATATCACCACTATGCTTACACTATGTGCACTATAACACAAAAAACAAACTACACACACACCCTCTTGACTGCTCATACACAAATATACACACACATTCCCACACACACACCCACAGGCCCACCTGTGTAGATGAAAGGTAGATGCTGTAAATTCCTTCGCTTCTCACACAACAGCTCCTCGTTTGTCAGCCCAAGCAAAGCAGCCCACGTCTGAATCTGATACCTCAGTCTTTTGAAGTTACTGTCATGCACGTCCACCTCTAAACCAAACCTCGCACACATAAAAGCAGATAGTCCAACACAATGTTCATACCTGGCCATGTGGTTCAACACAAGCTAAAGTTGAATTTCATTATTTTAGTGTTTAATGTCACATACAGCCCAAAGCAGTACACATTACTGGCCAGATTGATTTAGTTTTCAGGTTGTACGTTAATAAGATCAAATTTGCTACCTAAGTGATCCTGGGAGCACACGTTGTGTTTAATGTTACAGCTCAGTGACAAGAAAATGAAAACATGCTGTCCAGTCATGGGTCATAGCAGTGCTGGAGCCTATCCAAGCATGCATTTGCTGAAAATCAGGTAAACAACTGTTCAGACTAATATTCGCAGCTTTGAACAGAGTAGTGAGAAAGTGTAATAGGAGAACACAGGAGAACTCACTTGGAAAAGGGAACTTTACTCAGGTGTGTCTTGCCAACTGTACCACATACTTACGGTCAAAAACCTTTATTCTATTTTATGTGGTTGTAATAATAAAACATTTTAACTTAAGATTACACCGAGGCAAGACATAAGCTTTCTACAGCATCCATTAATTTTCTTGACAAATGTCCCAGGAAGAAATTTATGAAAAAATCAAAAACAAATGTGATGACACAGGCTGGCACACGCACACTTGAGTTTCCCACAGGCATTAGACATTATACAGAGGAATATCAGATAAGAAAAGAGAGATAAATTCACAGTTTTATGGGGATGACTTTTCTTTATTTTTGGGTTAGGAAGAGGATATTCAGGTTTTTCAAGTATGGGACAACAGGAAGGTGTAATGAGTATGGGGAGACCATACTTTAACCAAAAACTGCCTCAAGCATCTACACTATAAAAAATTAAACATTGGGTCAGCAAAAAAAAATATGTTAACATTTTCCACTAGAATTGTTAAGTTAAGACTGCTGGTAGAATTACATTAATTCAAAGCAATGTTTTGAGTATGGTGAATTACCTTTTAGGCCACAATAAAACGCATTTCTAAGTAACATGAACTTAACAATTGTTAACATGAATGCAAGTATTTAAATTGATCCAACATAATGTTTTAAGTTAGGTCAAGAAGCTTTTTGGCCACAATAAAACACATTTCTAAGTAACATTAACTTAATAATTAAGTTGATCTCTGCAAGAGTTAAGTTGTGTGTTAGCGAGTTATCTTTAGTATTTCTTCTCATCTGAATCATAGTCTAATCATGTCTAGCTACTTGTAGTTTATAAACGTAACTAGCCTACATGCTAACCAGAGTGGTGGCTAATGGGTAATCCTGGCCAGCTATTAGTCCCGCATTTAAGCATACTCAATCAGTGACAGGCTACAGCTACTAGCTAACTTTACCTCGGCACACAGACTGTACTATCAACACTGTTCAAATTTCAGAGCAAGGACTTCCAGATTTCGGTATTTGATTACAGTAGGCTATCACCAACAGAATCCTAAGCGAATGCAAAAATGTGTAATTAAGCATAAAATTACTTACCATTCAACAGATTAGCTTCAATGACTTTCAGCTGAGGCCCTGTGGTCACTCGTCTGCCTTGAACGTGCCCACACATGCAAGAGAGGGAAACTGTGGGCCGTTTAAACGTCAACAAATTGTATTTTACGTTAACAGAACTTAAAATTAAATACATTTTTGATTAACTGAAAATGTTAAACTCTGACAAGTCATGGTAGTATATTGAATCAATAGGCATAATCTGTGTGTCATCCAAGCTCAATAAAATAACAATTACAAGTAAAAAGTCTAACAGTATTTCAGAACTTGATTTATTATTTCACAACAATGTATATATTTAAGTAACGACTGAAGGTCCCCTGAATTAGTTTTTAGAGTGCACCTTTCCAGCAGAAAGTCACTAAACCAGCTCCTTGTGTTGTTTGGTGATTTTGACCTCTGAACTTCATGTAAAAGGATTGGGTGTAAAGAAAACTTGTGAGTGGATTTGGAACTTCTTGTTCCCCTGTTTTTTCCCCTGAGTATATTGTAAGTGAAAGACCTCAGAAATATTCTACCACACATGTGTTTTTTTATGAATGATGTGTGCTGTTGGGAAACTCTCAACATGTGTCCAATTCACCATCTGCATTCTCAGGACTAATTGATGTGCGTGTGTGTGAAACAGTTTTGATCACATTATTATACAAATCTGTGGAATTGATTTCTTGTTGTGACTGAGATGTACAAAAACAATCTGATGTCAGAGAGAGATGACCCAAAGGGTGAACAAAAGGAAACTGCTTTTTGTTCTCACATTAATACAAATATTACGTTTTGTATCTTGGCAATTTTTTTGTCTCTACCTCTCGTGTCTCCTGTATCATTGACACAATGATTGGTTTTAATGAATGTCTTTTGACATTTATTCATGTACTGAAGTACAAATTTAAGGAACTAGTGCTTTACTTGAGCATTATCTTATAATGCCACTGTATACTTCTACTTTCAGAAGCAAATATTGTACTTTTTACTTCACTGCATTTATCTTCCATCTTGTTTGTTGACAAATTATGATTCTTAGTTATAATTTAAACTCCCCGACAGTATATACAATTATATATATTTACAGGATACACAATATATACATTTTTTCTAGCAAAAATACCTATATATTTTTTGGTTCAAATGTGAGGGTTTGCTGCTTTCCCTTTTAATAATTCTCATTTATTTTAATAATTTTGAGGTTTGGACTGTTGGTTGGATAAAACACAAGCATTATGAAGATGTCACTTTGGTCCTGGCTAATTGTGGCATATACAGACAAGTTAAATATTTGCTCCACCTCAACGAACTACAACAGTAAAAACCTGCTTTTACATTAATGCATGACTAATAATAGTCTAATGATATTATATAATTGTATAACAATCAG